ATCGATCCATCGACCCAACTGGTGATCGAACCCGAGATCTCACTGGTAGAACGCATGTATACTACCCACTCGGTCACCGGGTAGCTAGCTGATCAGACCAGTTTTGATTTCCCCTTTACTTTATATAACACAATCCATCTTTGCGAGCTTGTTGCGGGTATCACGCGCCTCGCTCGTTTCAGCACTAGCCTCCGGCATGTGTAGATCTTTTGTAAATACACCCAGTCTGGATGCGCCAAATGTATTCTTGGTAATGCGCAAACGATATAGGTGAACCGGTAGTGATTGAAGAGCAGTCTTTAAATGGGCGGTTTGTCAGCCACTTTTCGAACGGGTAGATCTCAATCTCTGTTGTGAAGAAAATTTGATTTTTTTTTCGACGTTAAAAATAGAATGTGTTCACACGATCATTGAGATTTACAAATGATACAGACAGACGTAAGCTGCATGAGCCAATCTACTGACGCCCGTTCCTGGTGACAGTGACAGATGACACTAAACCTAAAATCGCCTATTCTGGATTCTATTTATCATGACCATTGATCAAATTTGCAGTGTTTAGGTGCAGAAAACTATCTGCTTTCATTCGTATTGAATATGTTTGATTATTCACCTCTTCAATCCTCATTACACCTAAAAATAAATGAAATACTATCAGGTAGCACGGGGAACTCCTACTGGCATCACGGCATCGGACTTCCAGTATTGGCTCCAATGTTTGCCAGATACTTCAATGATGTATTGGTGCACGGCACTAGCATTCTTAGGAATAGATTACAACTGTCTGAAATGAAAAGGACAAGTAGGGTCTATTGGGATTTGCACATGTGGCCCCATCGGTTGTAAAACGAGAAACATAGATCTCAAACGTCCTATTCATTTGATATCGGTAATAAGCTAGCTGCCGGGATTGACTCTTCGATCGATAAACGATCACGAAAAGACAGCGATTTGTTGGAGAATTTTTGTGCGTTATAATAGAATGAAATCTTCTTGTGTTCATGTGATGTTTTACTGGTGGGGTTACTAAGAATGGCATCCTCGCTGACCGGATGATCCCATAGTTGGATAGAAAAATGACTAATGACGTTTTGGATCTTCGCATAGGTACGGTATTGATAGAACTCGTGTAGCAGTTTAGAAATAGACTTCAGTTATTACAGTTATGCTCACATATAGACACATTATGGGTAAAAGGCACTTTTCTGAGCATTATATCTCATTGCAATTTTCTTAATTATTTATATCACTAATTGAATTCTCACAATCGTGAGTTTCCGGATCAAATTTCACCTAGTTATAATATATTCGGCTCAAAATTGGAAAATATTTCATGCAAAGCATCAGGGATGTGCATTCTTTCTAATAAATAATTACTATTTCATGAGGGAGCTTATTCTGTTTTTTTGAAATACTGGGAATAGCATGTACCGGAAAGAAAAACGGATAGACACTATTTGATTGTCAATTTGGTGGACTTGCTTGAGTAACGAATGGCCCCGGTGCTCAGGAAAACGGAAGGCAAACTGAAGTTACACCACTTGTGTGGTGCTTATGAGTCATTGTCGTGAAATAATTTTTATGAATTTGTTTCAACTAACGTTTGGTTGGCTTACAACTGATATACCGGCAATCGTAGTCAAAATTGATAAGTTAGACTATCATGAAGCACTTGACTAAGAGAAGGAATCACACGAGTGAATACTGTTGCATAAATGCTGTGTTCGTGATGGTCAAGTACCATATGCTGAAGCTCAAAACATTTGGCCAGTTGAAGCTGGAGATCCGACAAACGTACCGGTGCCCACGATTTCGATCAATACACTCGTATCTTTCAGTATATTGAAAAGTAATTATTGCGGATAACTTCAGCCCGCGGTAGGGGACGTCAATAATGTTGTCCTGAGGCAGGTATGGACACTACCTACAAATTCTCTAACGCTCACGTTTTGCCAGTTTAAACGATTAGACCAATCCGATGCAACTGATCATTTCGTATCAGTTCGATTACTCATTAGCCCCAATCAATTACAGATGCATTGGGGTGCAACGGGACATTGCATTTAAGCTAAACTGTCCAGACCAGAATTGCCCAGTGGTGAACTAGAATCTACAATATAGATACACACTAGAACATAAATCTAAAGAGTGAAAATAAATGTGCTCAATCGTTCAAAATTCCACTTCTGCAAATCACATAAAGGTTTGGTGTTCTTCGGGGCGGGTTTTTCACGGTCAGTCGGAAGATAATTTGACACGGGTGGGGAGAGAGAGAGAGTTGGACCACGTATCAAGGGGCTAAACGTTTGTGTTCGTCTTGTTTCGGTGAAACTGATTGTGACGGGAATGGTGTGGATGACAGTGGATGGTGTGTGTGCTTGTGTATATGTGCGCACTTCTTTAGTTGTAAATCACAAAGTTGATATCTCTGAACGCGGATTCTGGTCTTTTTGTTTCCCTACATCTTGTTGTCTTAACGATCGAGGACTAACTTACTTCATTCCTAGGGCTACTTGCCGCGCACAGTCGTCCAACAGCGTCTTACACTCCGTCTAGAATGATCTTTGGATCGTAGCTTGAAAACACTGTCAAACTAACAGTCAACCGTCATGTAATTTGTATGGGTCGGAATATGCATATTTCGCATCAGTTCATCGATTGTCCACATATGAATGAATTTTGTACACGATGAAGTCGTGTGAGTGAGACAGTTGGCGCGTAAATCGATGATCTCCCAAAATGTGTCACGTATGCAGAAACAGATTGTACAGATCACGTGATA